GACATGGCTGCAGCGTCAACAATACTACAGCGAGAATAAAAGTTACGCTTTCTTTCTTTGCGTGAACATTTGGGCGGCTTTATGCAAATCTTCCCACATAGTGAGGTAGGTATGTGGGGGCGTGTTCGAACGAGCCGTTTTAGGTAGGTGTGGCTAACTCTTAACTTTTATAAAGAATATCTCTTTGGATTTGAGACTTTAGTCTTTGCAACTTTACAGATCTTCTTTATGCACCAAGAGCTTGTAACACTCTAAAGAGAAAGGAAAAAATGAAATCGCATCATATGACCCCTTTAAGTGGTTGATTTGAGTGATAAAATTTAAACTTAGAAAAACTACAGTAGAACATCAAGAACAAATAGTTTTTAACACTGCAAGATACTGGTCCATTTGTCTTTCCTGACATTTTCTAATCCTGTTTTTTTTCTTTCAGTTCACAATGTCAAGCCGGAATGCATGGAGGCATACAATAAAATGTCGTAAGCACCCTTTTGAGTTTTACAGTATATAATGCTGATAAAGTATGGAGTCTTGATTTCACTATGACACTTGCAGGCCTGCCGTGTCTAAATGTGATGTACTTTGGTTCCTTGATTGTCCTATGTGACCGTGATATGTTATCATTAATATAGTACCAATATGTCTTGCCCCAATTCCTGTTTCAATAGCAAATACATCAACACAGGAATGAAAACTGCATGTTAAATCTTTTTTTTTTTTTTTGCCTATTGATTATATGACTTTTTTGTGTGTGTGTGTGTGATTTAAGTTTAAAACAAGTTTAAATTAATATTTTTAAATTACTCCTACTGTCAAAATTACTCTCGTGTCTAAACTACTCGCACTGTCTATTTTGAGGGATGAGGTACAGAAAGAACTTCATCGGGATGCAGATTATCCATGTGAAGTCGTTGGAAGCTGGAACACCTGGTGCGGTGAACAGGATCAGGCAGGTGAGATGGAAGAACATATTTTTGTATTATGTTTTTGAAAGAAGTCTCTTATTATCACTAAGGCTGCATTTATTTGCTCATAAATACAGTAAAAAGAGTAATGCAGTGAAATATTTGTACAATTTCAAATTGTAATAATACAATGTTTGAATATATTTTAAGATGTAATTTAATCCTGTGATGAAACGTAGAATTTTCAGCATCATTACGTCAGTCTTCAGTGTCACATAATCATTTTAATATGCTGATTTGCTGCTCAAGAAATGTAACAGTTGTGCTGCTAAATATTTTTGTGGAGAACAGCATTTATGTGAAACAGAAATCATTCGTATCATTATAAATGTCTTTATTGTCACTTTTGATCAATGTATGCATCCTTGTTGAAAAAGAGCATTCATTTCTCTCTCTCTCTCAAAAAAAAAAAAAACTAACCTAACTGACCCCAAACCTTTGAAAAGTATTGTTTTTAAAGCACCAGATTTGGTTTGTTTAAATATCTGTTAGATGTTTTATATATCTTGTTACAGTGCTAGAGTGACACATGCTGTTTTGTGTTTGTAGTGCATCTCTGGAGGTATTCTGGTGGATATCCTGCTCTTACAGAGTGTTTGCGCAAACTCAACCGCAATATGGTATTTCACACATCTCTGTGCACTTACATTTTGGATGTAAGAATGTCAAAATCCATATATTGTTTGTCCTTTATCAAAATGTTTCCTGTGCAGGCGTATCTTGCATTTCGAAAAGAGAGGAGTAAAATGTTGATCTCCCGATGCAACCAGCTTCTTCTGGAGTTTAGTTTCTGGAATGAGCCTGCGCCCAGAAGCGGCCCCAACGTTTATGAACTGAGAACATATCAACTAGTAGTAAATGGCATTTAATTATTCTGTTTTAAAGAGACACCTTTTTATTCAGGCCATCCAAGATGAGCTCTTTTGTCATCAGAACAGATCTGGAGAAATTTAGTTTCACTTGCTCACCAATGGGTCCTCTGCAGTGAATGGGTGCCGTCAGAATGAGAGTCCAAACAGCTGATAAAACAGTACATAATAACGCTTCCTCCAGTGAAAAAGTCTATCCCCTCTTGTCCTCTCACATCAAAATCCACTGACACATTTGCTTATGTGACTGTTTTTGCTTGGGAGTGATGCTTGATCTATGAACATTAATCTCCTAATTCAGATGAAACAAATTTTTCACTGGAGATATCAGTTATTATGGATAGAGGACTCGTATTTTAGCTGGAAGTAACAGCTTGAAGTTAAAAACATCTTGATGGATTTGTTTCTTACAAACAAGCAGCTTTTTGCTTAAGACATTGATTGATGGACTGGAGTTGTGTGTTTGGACTCTCATTCTGACGGCACCCATTCACTGCAGAGGATCCATTGGTGAGCACATGATGTAATGCTAAATTTCTCCAAATCGATTCTGATGAAGAAACAAAGTCACATCTTGGATAGCCTGAGGGTGAGTACATTTCAGCAAATGTTAAGTTTTGTGTGAGCTTTTCCTTTAACTTTTTTCTCTGTTTTTGTCCTGAAATTGCTGAATGAAGCCCGGAACTATGATCGAATGGGGAAATAATTGGTAAGTTTGTGTGTGAATTGTAGAGTTTGACTTAAAGGGATAGTTCACCTTCAGTTGCTGGTCCCCATTGACTTCCATAGTATTCCACACTATGCAAGTCAGTGGGGACCAGCAACTGAAGGTGAACTATCCCTTTAAGGGAAAATACTGATATTATATCACCATGTTGCGTATTTAATCTATTTGATCATGTTCCAGGGCTCGAGCAATCAAATATAGACAGGAAAACAATGAAGCAGTGGGTGGTTTCTTCACACAGATCGGTGAATTGTATGTTGTTCATCATTTATGGGGTAAGAACATCCTTCACTGAGCACATATCTTTTTCTGGTCATTGCATATTATTAGGTGCTTTAAAATAATATTTTTAATGTGTTTTAGCCTATAAAGACCTGCAGTCCAGACAAGAGACCAGAAATGCTGCTTGGTTAAAAGAAGGCTGGGATGTCAATGTGCACTATACAAGTGAGTTAGAACAAAGACAGCGGGTGTTTGAAATACAGTATTGGTGTAGTGATTATTGCATACTGCATAATATACTGTATACTGCCTGTCTGTTAAAAAATTATGTGCACATATTATTTTAATGTAGCTTTACAGAGTTATACACTACTGTTCAAATGTTTTTTTTTACAGTAACAATGAAGACATTTTAATTCTTCTATTTCAAATACAATAAAAACAGTTTCCACAAAAAAATTAGGCAGCACAACTGTTTTCTACATAATAATAATAAATGTTTTTAGAGCAGCAAATCAGCATATTAAAATAATTTCTGAAGGATCATGTGACACTGAAAATTTAGCTGTACCATAACAGGAATAAATTGCATTTTAAAATACCTACATTAAAACAGAAAACAGTTATTTTAAATTGTAATAATATTTTACAATATTACTGTTTTTATTGTATTTTTGATCAAATAAATGCAGCCTTGGTGAGCATAATTCTTTTAAAAACTTTAAAAAGTCTTACAAACTGCCAAACTTTTGAATGGTAGATTATGTTTTAATATGCAACCATAAATGTTTCAAACGGTGTTATCCTTCATTGCCACTTTTTTAATTCAGTGTTATCCGCTTTTCTCTGGAAAAAAAAAAAATGCTATTTGCTATTTTCAATTATGTAAAAATGTCTTAACTTTTGGCAGTCTGATCAAATAATGAGTCAAAAGGGAGATTTGGGAATTCTGGGTATTCCTTGCATAAAGTAAATGTGCATACTTCTCACAGTATGCTAGAGTACTGCAGAAATATGAATCAGGTCAAAGCACAATCAAAGTGTTTTCTTTGTAAACGTCGCCACCTGGTGGATTTCAGTAGAACTGTTAGAACTGTTCAGTACATTCAAACTTGTTTATTTCTGTTTTTGACAGTGCCTCTTATCCAGAAGATGGAATCGAGAATTATGATCCCCATGGAACATTCACCTCTGCAGTAAAATCAACAGTGTTTCACCTGTGATGATACCAAATACACAATCCACCAGGAGATCTACTGTTCTGACTTTACTCAAACACATCTGAAGCAGATGATCACAGTCTTCAGGTCCTCTTGAAGTAGACAGCAAGTAGACTGCAAGAAGGCAAAAGTGTGCCAGTGTTGAAGCCAATCTGAGAACTACTACAATCTGACAGACCCCAGTGCCTTTGTGTGAGACTGTTAAAGTATATATATAATTAAAAAAATTACAGTCTTGTTTTTAGTCATCATTCTCCTTTCTGATGCATCATTTGGCCTGTTGGAGTGCTTGAGGAAACTGCCTGTCAGCATAGCTCTTTATCTACAATTAAAAGAAATGTGTTCAATTTAACGCGTTTATCAGAATACTTCATTTTAATGTTGTAAAATTTAAAACTCCAGTTTAGGATAATAAATTACGAAATAATTTCTGTTGACCTGTAGTCTCTTCTTACACTATATTCGATTATTATTATTTTATAATAAATGTATGATATTACCATGGTCATTTTCACTATATATAAAAAATTAGCAATGAAACAGTCCCATTTTTAAATACTGCTGTCCCTTTAAGAGCAGGGGGGCGTGTGACACAACTGCTTTTCGAACCATACAAGTAGAAGAATACAATGAACTGGTAGAATGGCAACAGGCTTGAAACGATGTGTTCCAAAGTGGGTGGGGCTTCGCGACGCGTATGTTTTCAGATTCGATGGATTTAAATAATAATTCTCCGAATCACAATCAATAATTGTGGCAGTTTCTCCGTGTCATTTTCGGGTGTAAATTACTGCCTTGAATATTTGCTGAAGCGAAATGTAAGCGGAGTTGTCACGTGATTCCTGTTACTTTGCTCAGCGCTGATCAGATTCACCTTATCACGATCACTTGTGATGACTTCATATGGATTTTTTTGTATATATATTTTACACAGAATATTTCTTTTAATTCATTATAATGTTAATTCTTGAACATGATAGATTTTAAAAAACACTTTTTAATCTACAAAAATCTTAAATAAGACAATCAGCTTTTACGCCCCCCGGAGGAAGCCAACTGTATGTCCCATTGTAAACAGCATTTTAGATCCACTTTCCAATTAGTTCTCGAATCGAATTACATCGAATGAGTCTCTCCCACCAGCCAGCCACAGCGTGCCCGATGCACGAGGATTAAGCGTTTTGGTAGCGCAGGGGTATGTAACATCACATTAGGCGGATCTCGCATTGCGTTATTTAACGCGTCCACCTGCACTGCATAGAATACATTTTCACGGCGTCTTCCTGGTGGACTAGTGAACGATGGACCTGCACATCTTGGACCATAGATTAAGGGTCACATCCATAAGTAAAACGGGACTTGAACAGTACACACACCCCCTAATCAAACTGATATTTCTCAGAAACAGGACGAGGTAAGAACAGTCAACGCCTGTATGAGTTTGCAAACATGTTTTTACGCGTTTGATGGTGCTATAGCTCTTCATTAGACACCAGTTCAAGTACATAGCTTGCTTGTTTACTATGTGTTCAACTGCAAAGTAAGAGCCTCGCCCTGTTTTGGTTAGTTTGGACAAATGATAAATGACCAAAGAATGTCAGATCATGCACATGCACTTGGGGCCTTTAACTTGTACTTAAAAGGACACATTGAAAAGCTGTTTTTCATAAAGTGAGCAATTTCTTGTGCTCAGTTATGACTTGAAATAATGCCAACCTAGTAGCTGCCTACCTGGCTAGACAACATTTTTGGGCATGCAGGTTTTGACATACCTCCCATACATTAAGTTTTCATCCTAACTTCAAACTTTGCATGTAAAAAATATCCCATAGTTGACATTCACTGCCTGTACATTAACATGGGACAAAATAAAAACACTTAAAGTTGGACTTTTATTTCATTGCATACATAACTAAATATCAGCAAGTTGCTTTTTTGGTAAATTATATGTATTGAAGTAATTTTCTGCACGTCTCATTTGCTGACATTAAATTCTATGTTAATATTGGCATTATATCATAATTTATTGGCCACCTTTCGCTATCATTGGTCATTGAAAAACCCATGTTTTGATATTACTGAGTGAGTAAATGATTAATAATAAATTCCGAAGTAGTGTGTAGAATACACATTGCACAATTATAACATCATTTATTTACTGCAACGTCAAATCATTACTTTTGTCCATGTTAATGTGTTCAGTTATACTCTGTATTTTGCACTTGAATAAAGGGGTTATTATTAATAAAAAAGCAAAAGATCGATTAAAATCAAAAGGTAGTGGGACATGTCCGTAGTTAACTTCAGTAGACTTCAGTACATTTTATGATCTGCTTAATGCCGTTGAATGGGGTGCTTTTTCTCATGTCTGCGAGGACGAGGGAATGGCAACAGGCCTTTCAGGATTGGATTCCCACAGAGCTTAGAAAAAGATTGGAGTTTGTGTATTCGATATGCCTTTTCTGGTTCGTTCAGGCATATCTTGTTGAACTTTCCAGAACCTTGAATGCTACAGATTGATAATGTTCCAGAGTTGAGCATATCACTTCCAAATACTTAAACGAACGTTGTTGTTTTTATTTTTATCTTAAAATACACCAATTAAATTGATAGTTCACCCAAAGCTAAAATTCTGTCATCATTTACTCACCCTAAAAGCACTTACAACTCATGCACCATATTCAAAGCCGTCTGCAACCATACGATAGCTTTTAGTGAAGAGCAGACTGAAATGTATGTTGTTTTTCACTGAAAATCTTATTTTCCGCTGTAGCTCTCAAATACTCTTCATGCATGAGCATATTCAAACTTGCCTTGTCAGTTTTGATATCATTGACACCAAGCAGCATTGGTTGTTGATGTCTCTTGCTTTACTTAATAGGACATGTTAAGAGTTTAAGTGGTGACAGATTTCATTTTTGGATGAATTATGCTTTTAAAGGTCAGAAGGAGTGCTCCCACAAACACAACATGATCTCATCTGGTAATGTTATCTTCTCCACATGTGCAGCTTTGAGCACAGCGAGAGGAACATTTTTCTGAACAGGCCTTCTGTGAATGGTGCGTTAACTGCATCTGCTTGTTTTGACTGGCTCGAAAAAAAAAAATTCTGTCACCATTTGCTCTTATGTTGTCATAAACCTGTTGTTGAACTCGAAAGGAGATATTTTGAATAATGGTCTTTCAAGATTTTAAAAGTCATAAAACTTGAGGTGAACTCGGATCAGAACGATTTGTGAGTTTTTCAGATTTTTTCGAGTTATTCAGAGTCATTGAAAAGATCGAACTCAGAAGAATGACTCGTTCACAACTCGGAAATTAGGTGTCATTCACTGTGAGTGAACTGTGCGTATACACAAATTTGTAAGTGAAATCTGCATTCAAACATTTTTACCAACAAATCATCATGATTCTTTAATAACTTTGGTACTGACATTTATTGTAAATTTACGAAATTATGCAGGAACAACTGAAACCACACAAACAAAAATCAACCGTATAAACTATTTAAGAAGATAAAATATTATAAATAGTTGTAATCTTTAACCTGCTTGATTAATCGATATAAAAACCAAATTGTGAAATGGATCACTGCGTTTTTCTGTCAAAATAAAAGTTTGATGGTTTAACTTTTGTCAATTAAGAAAATAGGATGGCCATAATTATTATAGTCATTTTGCTGCTTCAAAATGAAAAATAAAATTATTATAATATTGTATTTCTTTTACTCTATTTTATTTTATGGGGAAATATTACAATAATATTTTTTTTGTTTTAATTTATCCATTTTAAGTAATAGTAATAATATTAAAAGCATTATTATTATTATTATTATTATATAGCCATAATTATATGTAATCACAAAATTTTGGCCAAATTGTGCAAACAAGCATAGCAAAGCTCGATAAAAAAAATTATTTAAATATACTTTTTTTATTTTTTAATATACATGCAAATTTTCCTGTGCGTATAATGAAAGTGCATAGGATAGTTTGTAGTTGATGTAATGATTTATCAGTAAATAAAGACTTAAATAAAAGTATTTTTTTCCCTCTTAGAAATCTATTTTCTGACCTGAAATACAGCACACTGCTACAGGGAACATAGTTCTTTCCCTTTTCTCACCGTTCTGGATGGTGTTGGTTTAACACCACTCCTATATTTCTCTGTTTTCCAGATGGATTTGGAGTGCTTACAGGAAGTTGAACCCTGGGAGCTCTAGATATTGTTAGGAAGTGTGAGACTAGCTGACACAATGCTGCTTTGCTGAGTTAGCCCTGAGGGGGTGGGTGTATTATTTCCCTTCTGTTCGGCCCTTGCATTGATGTGCCCAGTGGTTGGGGTCCGGATTGTATTGTGCTGAGTTGCAGACAGAACAGGAATCAGCTGTGCACATGAAGAGTCCTGTGGGTGGCTGCCAGTACAGTATCGCAGCTTCCTTCAGATAACGGCTGGTGCACTGCTGAGTCTGCCTCAACTGCTGTAGTTAATGTGAAAGTTAGAAAGTGCTTGTTGTTAGCGGACTACTTCATCTGTCACATTGATTAATCGAGATTAATCACATCCAAAATAAAAGTTTGTTTACATGACATGTGTGTACTGTGTATATTTATATGTATATATAAAATACACACACATACATGTGCATATATATTTAAGAAATAATTACGTGTGTGTATTCATATTTATATATGATTTTATTATATATAAATATAAATATGTTACATATATTTCTTAAATATATGCCTGTATGTGTGTATTTATATACATATATACACACAATACATACACACATAATTGTGTAAACACAAACTTTTTTTTTTAGATGCGATTAATCATGATTAATCGATTTGACAACCCTAATAAGAAATCGAACTCAAAAACTGCTTTACACTTAAGTTCCAAAAACATAAATGTACAACATATAACATATCATGTATAAAACTAACCCAAGTCACATGATACAATACTAATAACACAAAACGTACATATAACTAAATACAGAATCACTTATATAAAGAAAAATATTACGCAATTCTTAATGTCATTTATGGTTCTAACACATTATTAAAGGGGTCATATGATGCGATTTCAATTTTTCCTTTCTCTTTGGAGTGTTACAAGCTCTTGGTGCATAAAGAAGATCTGTAAAGTTGCAAAGACTAAAGTCTCAAATCCAAAGAGATATTCTTTATAAAAGTTAAGCTGGATAGCTGGCCAATCAGAGCATACCTCGCTTTTCAGACCAATGAGGTTTGTAAAAATCGACGCGTTTCAGAAAGGCGGGGCATAGAGGAGAAACAATAATGTACAGTATGTGGAAAATAATGTTTTTTGAACCTTAAACCGCCTAAACACATTTCATTACACCAAATACACAAAATGATGTTCTTTTTAGCAGCATCATATGACCCCTTTAAACCATAACGTTTTAAAGCACTTTCAATTATCATTCATTGTCACTGCATGGGGAAAAAACATTCAGGTTAAAACTTCTCCTTTAGTTTTCCTAGAGTAAAAAAAGTCATAACGGTTTGGGAAAACATGATAGCAGTAATATGATAAAATTTGGCAATAATAATAATTATCATTAGCCTAACTATTGGATGTTTTTGTTTACCAAGTAAAAGCATTCACTTGTTGCATTACTACTTTTTTGAGTATTAATGTATTTGCAAAATTTGGGGTCAGTAAGATCTTTCTATCTGTCTGTCTGTTTGTCTTTTTTTTACTTTTTTTTATTAATGCTTTTATAAATCAAGGATGCATTAAATTGATCAAAAGTGACAGTAAATACATTTATAATGCTACTAAATATTTCTATTTCAAATAAATGCTGTTCTTTTGAACATTTCTATTCATCAATGAATACATTTTAGGAAAAATATTACGCAGCACAACTGTTTTCAACATTGAGAATAATCACAAATGTTTCTTGAGCAGCAAATCAGCATATTATTATGTTATAATTATTATCATATGTTCCTGTGGCTCAGTGGTAGAGCATTGTGTTAGCAGCGCAAAAGGTCGTGGGTTCGATTCCCAGGGAACACACATACTGGTAAAAAATGTATAGCCTGAATGCACTGTAAGTCAGCGTCTGCTAAATGCATAAATTATTAATTATTAAATTAGATTAGAATGATCTCTGAAGGATCATATGACACTGAAGACTGGAGTGATGATGCTGAAAATTCAGCTTTACATCACAGGAATAAATTTGAATATATTTAAATTAAAAAAAAAAAAATTTATTATAATAATATTTCACAATATTTTTGTATTTTTTATCAAATAAATGCAGCCTTGGTGAGCAGAAGATACTTTTACTAACCCCAAACTTTTGAAAAGTAGTGTATTTTTATATTTTTAACCTAATAAATTAATGTAATTAGACTACATGATCAATTTACATAACTAATCAATATTAGTGTGTTTCATCTTTGTTTTAGTTGTTTTGATGCTGATAGATGAAATTCCGTGAAACCAGTCTGGACTTCATTTGTACAAATCAACTCTCAACAGTTCTTTTCCCATGATTCTCAGCTCTGTGGCTCTTAGACAGTAGATCAGACTGAATGAAGTGGAGTATGTTGTTCTGGGTTCCTGGACCAACTCGTAAAGAATTTGGCTCAAACCCTGTTGTGGAGAAACCAATTCACACAAACTTTTCTCTTTTTAACACGCACATCAAGCACCTCATATTTATCAATCACAACAAACCGAAATGCAGAACCATATGAATGGATTTCAGAAAGAGAAAGAGAAAATGACATTAACTTTTTCTGCAGAGGGGTTTGATGTGGTTTGTGTCTCCATCCCACACCTCTCGGCTGAAACACTCTTTACAGCAATCTGCCATTGTTTTTTTCCATTATGCAACGTCTGATCTGTCTGTTTGGTTTTGCTTCTTTCTCTCTCTCCCTCTGTTTATTTTCCCTCTCTCCTGTGCTTTTTCTCTTTCTCTCACAGATGCAAATTTTTCAGTCTCACAGAGACTCCGGAAAATTACACAGTTGTCCTTGATGAGGAGGGATTTAAAGGTAAAACACACACTCACACACACATGAACTGCTGTCATAAGGCTCTTGTGTTCAATTGACGATGACACACATTGTCATGGACTATACTGAGAACTCTATCATTTTATTTATAGTTATGTTATCATTTTATGTTGTCAACATATATAATTGTTCCTGGGGACTTTTAATCTGACGTTTCACATTGTACATTTCCAAAACCTGGGTTAACATTCTTATTTGCATAATTACATGATTGGCTAAATATGATGCCAAAAATTTAAATTACTCTTTATTTGATTGGTTCATTACTTGAAACCGCACTGAAATGTGAAGAATATGGAAATGTGTGACATGTTTGAACAAGACTTGGTACATTTTTTTTAATTTTTTTATTGTGCTGTATGTATTTCAAGCAATAAAACATTTTTATAGTTTATATATGTTAATAAAACAGTTTTTGTCTTTTAAGGAGGCCTAAAACCATTAACACCTAATAATTGATCATTTCATTAAAGGGGTCATATGATGTTGCTAAAAAGAACATTATTTGGTGTAATGAAATGTGTTTATGCGGTTTAAGGTTCAAAAAACACATTATTTTCCACATACTGTACATTATTGTTTCTCCTCTATGGCCCACCTTTCTGAAACGCGTCGATTTTTACAAAGCTCATCGGTCTGAAAAGCGTGGTGTGCTCTGATTGGTCAGTTATCCAGTGCGTTGTGATTGCCTGAATACCTCAAGCGTGTGACGGAAATGTTACGCCCCTACCATATTGTGATGCCCTGTCCGGCCGGAGCGACGAGACAAAAACATTAAAACCCATTATAAACGAGGCATTTGTTGCGTCCAGTGGGGACGGATTATAATGACATATACTGTCTTTTAAGCGTTGCATCGCACCACGTAAACATAAAAATTCTTTATGCACCAAGAGCTTGTAACACTCCAAAGAGAAAGGAAAAATTGAAATTGCATCATATAACCCCTTTAAGTATTTATATAAAACATTTAATAAAAATTATAATTATATCTCTTTCAGCTCTGTATAAAAATATATTTACATGTAATATAATATTATACTAAAGTTTGGAGTCGGTAAGGGTGTTTAAATTTTTTGGTTTTTTTAAGTCTCTTGTGCTCACCCAGACTGCATTTATTTGATTAAAAATACCCAATTTTTTGAAACAAAAGAAACAGTAATATTGTGAAATGCTATTACAATTATTAAATATTTATTATTTTAAATTGAATTATAATAATTATATAATATTATGAAATTATTTTCAATTTGAAGCAGAATTTTCAGCAACTATTTTTAGATGATGTGAAGAAAATGTCTCTGCCGTTCGCTTGTGCAAAACTGTTGAAAAGTTTGCTGTTTTCTATTTGAATATATTTTGAAATGTAATTTATTCCTGTGATGCCAAACTGAATTTTCAGCATCATTACTCCAGTCTTCAGTGTCACATGATCCTTCAGAAATCATTCTAATATACTGATTTGGTGCTTAAGAAACATTTCTTATCAATGTTGAAAATGGTCTGGATGCTTAATATTTTTGTGGAAACTGCAATACTATGTTCAAAAGAACAGCATTTATTTGAAATAGATTTTTTTTTGTAACATTATAAATGTCTCTACTGTCAGTTTTGATCAGTTTAATGCATCCTTACTGAATAAATGTGTTTTTTGTTTTGTGTTTCCCCCAAACTGAATGGTAGCTCCTCTTTCAGTGCAAGGCATTATAAAGTTTGATCACTTAGAAAAAAATTTGCTATTACTTTTCTATTAATATTTTGTAAAATGTGAAAACTGGTATATTTGTATATTGACACTGACTTCTGTATGTCCTCTTCATCACATCCTCATCCTCCAGAGCTCCAGCCGTCTGAGCACTTACAGGTGGAGGGCTCCACTTGGCTCCCGCTCAATGTCGTCTCCAATGGCAACGCCTCCAGCAGCTCACAGGCCGTGGGCGTCACCAAGATCGCCAAATCCGTTATCGCTCCATTGGCCGAGCAGCATGTGTCCGTCTTCATGCTGTCCACCTATCAGACGGACTTTATTCTGGTAAGCGAGTCTGGTGTGTCTCTGTGATCATTGAGACACATATATCTAATTTAAGCCTGTCAGCAATGTTTCTAAAAAATACTTGGATGAGTGTAAACTGCACCAAATGATGGAAGTATTATGTCAGTGAATCAGGGTTGTTATAGATAACTAAAATTAAAAATATAAAAAAAATTCAATACTTGAAATACAATAAATGTTAGCTGAAATATAATAAAAAAAACAAATAAAAATGTCAAAAACGCAAAACGAAATGACTAAAACTTAAAATGAAAACAGTAAACATTAAAAAAATCTAATTTTAAAGTTTAATAGTATATCAATGATACTAAAATAACACTGCAATGAATAACCAAAATATTTTATGTTCAGCTAAAATCTCAAATAAATTATTATAATTTTTTTAATAAAATGTTTTGTTGCTTTCTTTGGTTAGTTAAACACAGCACAAAGCTAAGATGTAGATCTGACGGACATTTGGCTGAATCCAGAGACAGAACATTGTTAATAAATGATGTATTAAGGAAAAGGCAGCATAAACATGCGCCAACATCAAACACACCTGCCTGTTGTAAATGTTTTACAATTTTATGACCCTTATGTTTTAATAAGTTGGTAGATGTGTGATGAACATTGTGTAATGTTGATTGGTCTCTGTGCATTATACTTTCAAGGGCAGTTACGCTTTTGTAATAAGCTAATTTACAGTTTTGCTAATAACTCTAGAGCTGTGTGGGCCAGAATCTATTTTTTTATCCTGGTTTAAAAACTTTTTTTGTTTGTTTGTTTTCTTTTTGGAAAACTGACTTAAGAAACATTTCTTATCAATGTTGAAAATGGTCTGGATGCTTAATATTTTTGTGGAAACTGCAATACTATGTTCAAAAGAACAGCATTTATTTGAAATAGATTTTTTTTTGTAACATTATAAATGTCTCTACTGTCAGTTTTGATCAGTTTAATGCATCCTTACTGAATAAATGTGTTTTTTGTTTTGTGTTTCCCCCAAACTGAATGGTAGCTCCTCTTTCAGTGCAAGGCATTATAAAGTTTGATCACTTAGAAAAAAATTTGCTATTACTTTTCTATTAATATTTTGTAAAATGTGAAAACTGGTATATTTGTATATTGACACTGACTTCTGTATGTCCTCTTCATCACATCCTCATCCTCCAGAGCTCCAGCCGTCTGAGCACTTACAGGTGGAGGGCTCCACTTGGCTCCCGCTCAATGTCGTCTCCAATGGCAACGCCTCCAGCAGCTCACAGGCCGTGGGCGTCACCAAGATCGCCAAATCCGTTATCGCTCCATTGGCCGAGCAGCATGTGTCCGTCTTCATGCTGTCCACCTATCAGACGGACTTTATTCTGGTAAGCGAGTCTGGTGTGTCTCTGTGATCATTGAGACACATATATCTAATTTAAGCCTGTCAGCAATGTTTCTAAAAAATACTTGGATGAGTGTAAACTGCACCAAATGATGGAGGTATTATGTCAGTGAATCAGGGTTGTTATAGATAACTAAAATTAAAAATATTAAAAAAATTCAATACTTGAAATACAATAAATGTTAGCTGAAATATAATAAAAAAAACAAATAAAAATGTCAAAAACGCAAAACGAAATGACTAAAACTTAAAATGAAAACAGTAAACATTAAAAAAATCTAATTTTAAAGTTTAATAGTATATCAATGATACTAAAATAACACTGCAATGAATAACCAAAATATTTTATGTTCAGCTAAAATCTCAAATAAATTATTATAATTTTTTTAATAAAATGTTTTGTTGCTTTCTTTGGTTAGTTAAACACAGCACAAAGCTAAGATGTAGATCTGACGGACATTTGGCTGAATCCAGAGACAGAACATTGTTAATAAATGATGTATTAAGGAAAAGGCAGCATAAACATGCGCCAACATCAAACACACCTGCCTGTTGTAAATGTTTTACAATTTTATGACCCTTATGTTTTAATAAGTTGGTAGATGTGTGATGAACATTGTGTAATGTTGATTGGTCTCTGTGCATTATACTTTCAAGGGCAGTTACGCTTTTGTAATAAGCTAATTTACAGTTTTGCTAATAACTCTAGAGCTGTGTGGGCCAGAATCTATTTTTTTATCCTGGTTTAAAAACTTTTTTTGTTTGTTTGTTTTCTTTTTGGAAAACTGACTTTTCTCAAAGTCTTTCTAGGCTGCTTTTTTATTTGTAAAAAATACTGATTTGATAAGGGGTTTTTTTTTCCATTGATTAAAAAACAATTAAAGTGTGCAATGAAGCTGTGGCCCAGTATTGACTGTAATAAGCTAATTTACAGTTTTGCTAATAACTCTAGAGCTGTGTGGGCCAGAATCTATTTTTTTATCCTTGTTTAAAAACTTTTTTTGTTTGTTTGTTTTCTTTTTGGAAAACTGACTTTTCTCAAAGTCTTTCTAGGCTGCTTTTTTATTTGTAAAAAATGCTGATTTGATAAGGGTTTTTTTTTCCATTGATTAAAAAACAATTAAAGTGTGCAATGAAGCTGTGGCCCAATATTGACTAATATTTCTTGAATGTAAAGTCCAAACTTTACAAAAATTTGTGCGAAGAAACCACATTCTAAAGGTGCACACCAAATAGTCACCCACAGGGGGTGCTACAACAACAACAAAACAACCATAACTATTTGATTGACGTTTTGCATGTTGTTGTTTGGGAATAAGTGCTGCTAACATATGCTAAAAATGCAATAGCAATACAAAATTAAAGTATAAAACAAACACGACCACCTCAGGGAGTGCTGTTAGGTGATGTATATGAAAATGTATGCTATTAACACACTAAAAGGGATATTTGTGTTCTAGGTGCGAGAGAAAGACCTGTCGGTGGTGGTGGAGACTCTAGTGGAGGAGTTTAATATTTTCAGAGAGGAGGGAGGAGAGTCAGTGCCTGTCCACAGTCAGGACGCCTGCAACGGCCTGCAGCGAAACGGCAGAGAGGGTGAGAAAGCAGTGAAAGAAAGGCATACACTACCATTCAAAAGTTTGGGGTCGGTGTGAAGTCTCTTATGCTCTCCAAGGCTGCATATATTTGATTTAAAAAAATAGAGTAGAAACAGTAGTATTGTGTTATATTATTGCAACGTAAAATAACTGTTTTCTATTTGTATGTATTTTAAAATGTAATATATTTTTGTGACTCAAAGCTGAATTTTCAGCATCATAACTCCAGTCTACAGTGTGACATGATCCTTCAGAAATATTTCTAATATGATGATTTGCTGCTCTAGAAACATTTATTATCATCATCATTCATCATCATTTTAGAAAGCTTTGATATTTTTTTCCAGGATTCTTTAATGAATAGAAAGTGCATTGATGAACAGCATTTATTTAAACAGAATTTTTTTGTAACAATATAAATGTCTTTATGGTCACTTTTGATATATTTAATGCATCCTTGCTGAATAAGTGTTAGTTTCTTTAAAAAAAACAACTGACTCCCAACATTTGAACTAATGCAATGGCTTCTTGAAAAGGTCATATTATGAGAAATAGTGAAATTGATTATTTAAGAATAGTCCATTATACTATGTGTGTGTGTTCAGTTCCACATGCAACAGTTCATCCAGTGCTGATTCCAGAAAATAAATTTTGCGTAATGAGCTTGGATCCGGACACACTGCCAGCGATTGCCACAACCCTCATAGACGTTCTGTTTTACCCTAACAGGTATGAAACATGCTGCTGCAAACTCATGCAGTGATGCTGTATGCATCTCATTTTTCACTGCTTTGAGTTTTGCGTTTCCTCTTCAGCACATTACTTAGCTGACCAATATTTTTTTTTACCATTTCACTGCCACTAAGAGGTGTCTTGAACCAAGTCACAGTTTATGACGCATTACACTGTAGGGGAAAAGATGGGGTGAACTATGTCGCTTTTTTATACAAGTTGTTTTCTCAGCAGGAAGAAATAAGAGGTAAAACTGCTACTCCTAATTATAATTAGTGTCTCTTATAAACTGCAAGTAAAATATTTATTTATTATTTATATATTTATAAAAAAAAATGTGTCTGTTTGTTTGTGCAGTTATTTCCCTTGGCATATTCAGTTATAACATGTTGTTGGTTATTAAGTCTGTTAAGTGTTTTTTTTTTATTTCTTTTTAATGCATTTTTCTCCTGCAGTCCTAAAGAGGGCGCCAGTGTTGATCAGGACATGGAATGTATCAAGTTTTTCTCCTTCTCTCTGATTGATGGATACGTCTCTTTGGTGATGGACACAGAAGCACAGAGACAGTAAGACCCTCACAGAGTCATGAACAGGTCATCATATCAAAGATTTGCACGTTGCAGATTTAAATATGAAAAGATGTTTGTGTTTGTTTGTGTGTCAGATTCCCCACTGATCTTCTCTTCACCAGCTCTTCTGGTGAGCTCTGGAGGATGGTGAGAATAGGAGGGCAGCCTCTCGGCTTCGGTGAGCTTCAGAATACCTTCTTTTGGCCATTTGAATGCAGCATGTATCCTTTAGCCATGCCATAATGCATTGCAGCAAGCAAGAGTAAGCCAGTCACCCAGGATGAGTCGAATGAATAAAAAAAAAAAAGATTATAAATATGCTTACAATTCATTCAGCATTACAAGGTATCAATACAATTTTTTTTGATTTTTTAATTTATTTTAAAGTGTAGCTACACGTTACATGTACTTGCCATGTTAATAACAGTAAATTGTGCACAATTACAAATGTAAACCAAAATCTAACCCTAAACTTAGCCCTATAGTAAGTTTATGTAATTAATTAATTAATTAATGTTATTCAGTGCTTTATGAAATTAGACTGTAACAATGCCACCAAAAAATTCAATATTTTATTTTAATTTAATTTGGTTCTGATTTTAATAATTTTATTCTAATAATGAATATAATTTTTAATAAATAAATAAATATTTGTTGAAATACATTTAAATAAAAGGTCATTTAATTTAAATAAAATGATTGAATAACCAATATTTGTGTGTGATTATCTATTTGTATGCATTTTAGAGTCACAATAGTTTAACTTGATACCCTACTCTAGGGTTTCCCAAACTAGGGTTCGTTAGGAAACAGCAGGAGGTTCGTAAGCTGATGAAAAGCTAATAATTACTTGAATCACAAAAAATGTGAAATTAAAATAAAGCATTTTAAAAGAACATAATAAAACACTTACAAAAAAAAGATTAAATATTTTATTTGTTTACATGCATATCATGTTACCATTAACCAACATGAGAGAACCATGAGCATGCAAATGTGTGTTAAATTATCAGAATATTAACTTGTATCCCAGGGATACTTCAAGTAAATATTTTATGTCAAAAGAGTTCAGCGGACAAAAAAAAAAAGTTTGTGAATTCATGACCTACTTGAAATTAATTGTGAGTCAAGAACAGATCAATATCAGTCACTTATGAGGTTCTGTTTCCATTAGGACATTTACATTTTATCATTTAGCTTTTATCCAAAGCGACTTACAAATTAGGAGAACAATAGAAGCAATCAGACTAACTAGAGAGCAACAGTATGCAAGTGATGTGACAAGTCTCAGTTAGTCTAGCACAGTACACATAGCAATGTGTGTTTTTTTTTTTTTAAATGTTAAATAACTTAAAGCAAATAGTTAAGTGTTAGTATTAAATGGTCAGGTGCTGGAGAAAAAAAAAAAAAAAAAACTTTAGACGTTTTTTGAAAATGTCTAAATACTCAGCTGCTCAAATTGATATAGGCAGGTCGTTCCACCAGCTGGGAACAGTCCAGGAAAACATCTGTGAGAGTGATTTTGTGCCTCTTTGGGATGGCACCACAAGGTGTTGTTCACTTGCAGAATGCAAGCTTCTGGAGGAATCACAAAATGGCTATTCATGGAAAAGCCATGATAGGCGAGAGGGAGAGAGTGAAAGGTGACCTGTGGAGGAGTGCGAGTTGTGCCTGGAGTCAGTCTGAGGTTAGAAGTGATGAGGAAGTGGTCTGAGGTGTGCAACAGAGTAACTAGAGTGTTATCAGTGGCGCAATAAGGTTTAATTGGTTATCTGATTTGTGAGTAGCTGTAGTAGACACTCGCTTGTGGTCAAATGAGGCAAGCAGAGTGTTGAAGTCAGCAGCCTGGGGTTTACCTAGGTGGATGTTGAAGTCACCAAGTAGTACCAGAGGAGTATCGTCCTGAGGGAAGTTTGGGAGTAACACATCCAACTCCTCCAAGAAGTTACCCAGTTGACATGGGGGACGATAAACAATTACAAAGTGGATTTTAACGGGGTGGGTAATAGTAATTGCGTGTGATTCAAATGAACTGTTGTCAGTAAGAGATGGTAGAGGATCAAATTTCCATTCATTTGTAGACCGGTACCTCCACCCCTTGCTCAATTGGGAGAAATTGAGGGAAATTGGGGAAAAAGTTAAATAGAGAGGGCTGCAGGAGTGGCAGTGTCCTCAGGTTTGATCCAAATCTCAGTTAGGGCCATGAGGTTGAGACTTGAATGAGTAGCAGTAGATTAAATAAAGTCTGCTTTGTTTACAGCAGACTCGCAGTTCCAGAGACCAATTGGAATAGAGAGTAAAGTAGTAGTGGACATAGGGAAAGTACGCAGATTTCGCTGCCTCCTACGTACAGAGCGTGATTTACAAGTGTTGGTAGTAATAGTAGAGATTTGAAAGCACATAGGCAAGCTTCTGGAGGGCGCATAAGTCTGAACTATCAAGTTTAAGTACTTTGGTGCAGAGCCAGTGGTTGTCTTGTAGGCAAACATCATTGAATTTGATGCAAGCAGCTATTGGCAGCCAGTGCAAACTGATGAAGAGAGGTGTGACGTGGGCATTCTTCGGCTTGTTGAAGACCAATCTTGCTGCTGCATTCTGGATCAGTTGCAATGTCTTGATAGTACATGCCGGAAGGCCTGCCAAGTGAGCATTACAATAGTCCAGTCTGGAGAGAACAAGAGCTTGGACAAGGAGTTGTGCGGCCTGCTCTGATAGTAAGGATCTAATCTTCCTAATGTTGTATACGGCAAATCTGCAGGACTGGGCCGTTGTTGCAATATGGTCTGTGAAGCTTAACTGATCATCAATCACAACTCCCAAGGTTCCTGGCTGTCCTGGAAGGAGTTATGGTTGACGAACCTATCTGTATAGAGAAGTTGTGGTGAAGTGCTGGGTTGGCTGAGACCACGAGCAGTTGTGTCTGATGGCCCTTCATCCAGCCAGAAATATCTGCCAGACAGGCTGCAATGCGAACAGCTACCGTGGGATCATCTGGTTGGAATGAGAAGTAGAGCTGAGTGTCATCAGCACAGCAGTGATAGGAAAAGCCATGATAGATCCTAATGATGACATGTAGATGGAGAAGAGAAGTGGTCCAAGCACTGAGCCCTGAGGAACCCCGGTAGCAAGAAGTTGTGACTTGGAAACCTCTCCCCTCCAAGACATCCTGAAGGACCTAACTGAGAGGTAAGACTTCAACCACTGGAGTGTGGCTCCTGAGATGCCCATCTTCGTGAGGGTGGACAGGAGGATCTGGTGGTTAACTGTGTCAAAAGCAGGAAACAGATTCAGCAAGATGAGTACTGAGGATTTGGAAGCTGCTCTTGCCAGTCTCAGGGCTTCAGTAACCAAGAGCAGGGCAGTCTCAGTTGAGTGGCCGCTTTTGAAGCCAGATTGGTTGTTGTCCAGATGGTTGTTCTGTGCAAGAAACATAGACAGTTGGTTGAACACAACTCGCTCAAGTGTCTTTGCAATGAATGGAAGAAGGGATACCAGTATGTAGTTTTCTAAATGTGCTGGATTTAGAGAGGGTTTCTTAAGCAGTAGGGTTACGCAAACCAGCTTAAATGCTGTGGGAAATGTACCAGTGTGAAGAGAGGTGCTGATAATGTGAGTGAGTGCAGGTATAACTGAAGAAGAAATCGCTTGAAAGAGGTGAGTGAGGTTAGGATCAAGCGGACAGGTCAGGTAGGATGATTGGAAAGGATAAGTCTGCCTCCGAGAGTGGAGAGAGGGAGGAGAGAGAGTGTGTATTTGTTATGAAGTTTGTGGGTGGTGCGTGCTGGTCTGGATGAAAGGTGGCAAAGTTGTATAAGCAAGATGTTAGAGTGGAGCAAAAAGTGTTAGTGCCCAGTGCTGAAAACTGAGAGGGTGGAGGAAGTGAGGATGAAACCATAGAGGATAGGCGAGAGGGAGAGAGTGAAAGGTGACCTGTGGAGGAGTGCGAGTTGTGCCTGGAGTCAGTCTGAGGTTAGAAGTGATGAGGAAGTGGTCTGAGGTGT